ATAGTTAAAGTGGGGAGACAAGATAGGAACGTGTCACAATAGTCCAAGCAAGATGTGAAGTGCCATGACTTCCAGGGTGTGGCAATAGGAATGGAGACAAACACTGAGATTCAGTACATACTTTGGAGGTTAAGCAACAAGACTTAGTGAACTAGATATGGTAAATAAAGGTCGGGGATTTAGCTCAGCGGTTTTGCCACCTGCTGCTCAAACACAATGACCTGAGTTCAATCCCCGGTACCAAAAAAGAAAGTGAAATGGATATGGTAAATTAAGGAATCACAGATAACTTCTGGGTCTTTGGGCTAAGTAACTGTGAGGTAGTGTCAATCAACCAAGATTAAGGGAAAATTAAGGACAGATGGAGACAGGCAGTTTGTAAATCAAGAGCTCTGTTTTGCACAGCTCCTAGTTTAAGTACCATGTAATTTAATTCTCAGAGTCATTTTCTTTTCCCCATTTTATAGATGAGGAAGCTAAAGCACAAAAAGGTTATATAATTTGGTCAAGGTCACTTGGCTAACTCATTCTGTATATTTTTCTTGCTTACACAGTAGCATTAAGGTCAAGATTTCTGAATTCTAACCCTAGGACAATTTACTCGTTGTATGATGTGTGACCCTTTGACAAGACACTGGATTTCTCTAAGATCTGATTTCTCTTCTCTTGAAACTGGAAATTTTCTTGTTCAAGGTTTGTGTATGGTTAAATGGCACAAGGTAGCCAATATACATGACATAATATGTAACAAATGATTATTAAATGTTAGCGACTATTAGTAAATGTTAGGGATGAATGGTCATCTCTAAGATAGGAATACAATAGCATACGATCCTGGATTCACTCCTGCTAAAAGAACTCATTGAGAAGGTGTATTTTTCTCTCTAGCTGGGCTTAGCCTGTGGCCTTGGTCTTATTTCTCATTGTTACAACTGCAAACCAGAATGAGGCCCTGAATGTCTATGAGAGGTTCTCTCTCATGATGGGTAGATAAGGAATATTTACTGAAACCTGAAATAAAGCCTAAGTAAAAGAAATACAGGAGACAAAAGACAAGATGTGAAAACCCATCAAAAGGGTTTGAAATGACAAAAGTGGAAAAGTCCCAACTTTAATCAGGGAAAGTTGGTTGCATCAGTGAAAAATAACCACACATGATACAATCAGGCAGTAGAAATCTTGATAGTGGAAAGCCAAAGGTGCAGAATATTCATGAGCATTTCCCCTAGCCTGACCTCAGAGGAAGAATTGGTTCAAAATTAGCAAGATTGAGAGCTATTTAGCTTCACTGACTGGAAAATTCCTTCCCTGAGCCCACATTGATGTAGAAGCCTCCTCCACTATGCCAAAATACACCCAACATGGGGGTGCTTGGGGTAATACCATCACTTCACTGTCAGGGTTGCTTCTTTGGTAAGAGTGGGAAACAGTGAAAAATCAGTGCTAACTGAGGTGGTAGGGAGGGTGAACCTTGCGAACAGTTATCAAAATTGTGTCTTTTAAATTGACTTTTAAGGGTAAAATGAGAGTAGAATCACTCAAACTGGTATGAAAAGACATCACAAGAAGCAGGGTAAAAGCAAGACCATGGTGAGACATGTAGAAATGATGAATGAAAATCTCATGCTTCCCTTCAAAAAATACAGGCCCCCACCCATCCCAAATTCAGCCCCATCCCCAGCAGGCTTTCTCCTGGTGCTTCCTGATCACCCTTCTGGGTGGAGTCTTGGGAGATAGTCAAGGGTACCTGGGTTAAGAACAAGAGATCTGTAGATGGGTTGCCTGAGTCCTGGCTTGCCAAGGTTTTCAACCATAATGGAAGAACTACTTAACTTTTTACAATCTTGGTTTCCTCCTTAATGAATGTGGAGAAGAGTATAATGGTGCATGCTCTCTTTCTCTCTCTCTCTCTCTCCCTCCCTCCCTCCCTCGAGCACACAGAAGAGAAGCTATGTGATGACTATGAGAAGGCATCTTCCTGACTGGAGAAAAAAGGCCACACCAGGAACTGACTGTGCTGGCACCTTACTCTTAGACTTCCCTTCCCTAAGACTATGAGACAATAAATTTCTGTAGTTCAAACAGAGAGAGAAGGAGAAAGAGAGGGTGAGGGAAAGGGTGAGGGGGCGGGAGAGAGAATAATGACTGTATCTGTTACCCAACCTCACAGAGTTGCTATTAGATGATAATGAGATAATGCATATAAAATACCTGGCACACAGCTTTTAATGAGCATTTATACTTGCTATAACATAATCTAGAGTTTCATTCTGGTTGCAGTAGGGTTTTTTCTTGGTCAAAATAAAGCTTTTAAAAACTCTTAAAAGGGCCGGAGATTTAGCTCAGTGGTGCCGACACCTGCCTCACAAGCACAAGGTCCTGCGTTCCATCCCTGGTACCAAAAAAAACAAAACAAAAAAACCCCAACTCTTAGAACTTTGTTAGATTTCAATCCATTTCTGCTGCTATCACTTTAGAAAAGAGTATTTACTGAGTATTGAGCACCCAAATTTTTTTAATGGGCTAAAGAAAATAGGGTTTTGGGGAGTCACTGCCTACAACCTAAGAATGAGAGCCTGAAAGAGATTAGGTGAAAGTAGACTTCAGAAATTTATTGGAAAAGGTAAATACTGAAAAGAGGTAAGAAAGATCAACCCTCATCCTATTCAAATTGGGTGTGAAGGTTAAGATAACTTCTGATATGCCATAAGAGTTGTGACTTCCCCTTGTACATTATTCTGTTCTTCTTTCTTCCTTTTCCTAGACATATCCGAAAATCTAGGCAAGCAGAAAACCAGTGTATTAACTGGAAATACATAGGAAAGAGGAGGAAAAGAACTCTGTGCATCTGTGTCTTGTCTCAACACAAGTTCCAAGCAGAGAAGAGAAACCCCAGGGGAGAAATAGGTGGTGGCCAAAGGAGAGAGAAGGCCCGTTAATCTTCGGGACGCCCCAGATGAGAAAGCAGGCAGAATAGAGGGGGTTCCCTGGGGGGATGCCATCAAATCAGCAGCAACTCTGCAAGGATTTGCCCCAGCCTGAAGCCCCCAGGTGATTTCCTCTTCAGAACAGCCTTGGATCAAATAAAACTGCAAGACCTGAAGCCAGAGATCCCTAAGCAATACCAGGGCCATTTGTTGTCTGAACCAGGAGTTCCTGAGTGAAAGACAAGACCTTCATGATGACGTTGGGCCAGCAGGAGTACACTAGGCCTGTTCAGTATGCACAAAACAAGAGGACTAAATATGGGCTGGGGAACAAAGGAAAAAAAAACAAAAGGTGAGTAAGTGATTGGGAAGTAAATAAAAATATTTTTTAAAGCCCTCTATCAAGCTTGTGTATGGTAGCTCATTAAGTCATCAAAATATGCAAGGCAATGAGAAAACAGGTTCAGAGAGGTCAAGTGATTTCCACACAATAATAAGTAGTGGGGCCAAACTTCAAAGTTGAGTTTTCCTGGCTGCAAAGCTAGTGTTCCCTCTCACTAGGCTGTAGGAAGGCTGAAGTGATTGAGAGAACTGGGGTGGGCTTGCAATGGCGCAGCTGGAGCAGGAAGCGTGGCAGAGGCTCCCGCCAGGCCTGCCTTCCCTGCCACCCAGGCCTTCCAGTTATCAGGCCCTCCATTTCCTTGCCTTCGCAGTTAATTGACCACACCATTATCCTGTCTTAGCATTATCTTCCCTTTTTCTCGTCTTTCCATAAGTCAGGCCTTTTCATGGTTTGGTGTTATTTCTGCCACAGTGTTTTATTAGTACAGTTCTATTTTCTGCCTGCTCTGGCTCTTTTTTTGCGTATAAACTTTTTGAGCCAGGTCTCTTATTCTCTGTTGTCCACAGCCATCAGGAAGTGAAGGCCCTGTGGTAAGAAGTTGGATAAATACTACTGGTTGTGTTGAATGATTATAAGGCCCTTATCTTCCCACTCTCACACCGAAAGAGGAATTCACCAGGAGAAAGAGAAGTCACTTTTTCTTATGCATACCCATCTCCTTCTCTAAGTCTTTTCTGACTCATAAATATCATGGTGGAATGAAACCTTCCCTGAAAATAGGAAATCAGAAATTATCCCCAAATTTCCATGCACAGCTTCTGCACAGCAAAGGAAACAAGCAATGGGAAGAAGAGGTAACTGACAGAATGGGAGAACATTTTTGCAAACTATACATCTGATAAGGAAGGAGTATCCAAAATTTATAAGACGCTCAAACAACTCATAGCAAAAAAAAAATCTGATTTTAAAATGAGCAGAAGACCTAAACGGACGTTCCTTTGAAAGAAGATCTATGAGTGGCCAACAGTTATACATTGAAAAGATAGAAACTCGGAATCAAAATTTCATAAGATTAGTCTTTGCTGCTTCATTAAGACATTCTTAAGCAAAACTGGCTTTTTGGTATATTGTGAATGTTTGATGCTTGAAGAATATGGTGACAGTTAGAGTTTGGTGCCACCACTTTAAGTCATGGTTAACTGACAGTAGTTTTACCACCATCAGTGCAAATCCCAACACAAGGGAAAAGACAATCATGTCTTAATCTTACAAATAAAAGAGTTTTGACCTTACTGATGTTTTAAAGGGCCTTCTGAGTTCTCAGGCCACACTTACACATTACTATTCTAAGTCCAAACACTAGCAATCTTTTAGTTTATAATGGGCCAGGTAGTAAATATGCTGTTAGCAAGCCACATGTTCTCTGTTGAACTCCTCTACTCTGCCACTGTACCACAAAAGCAGCTGTAGGAGATGGCTCCCTCTAGCACTTTTATAAGGGGACTAATCCACATATGAGGGCACCCTATTCATCTAATCTCCTTCCAAAGGCCACACTTTTTAATACTATTGTAGCAAGGGTTGAGTTTCAACAGGAACTTTAGAGGGATCACAAACATTCAAAACATAGTGTTACTGGATTCAGGGGTACTGGAATCTCCTTTTAAAGGTGATTTCTATTTCCTTTCTGTACTGGACAAAGAATTGAACAAAACAAGCGTAAACCATGGCAAAGTTTCACATTTATTAAAGGTAAAGAAAAAAACAGAAAGATAGGGGAAAATGGGCTCTGCAGAATGAATTTGAGCCAAGTAAAAAAGGAGGAAAAAATAAAAATATACCAGACAGTGCGGTAGGCTGTGGTGTGGTGGACTTCTTTATAGTTCCCGCACTGGGCTCACTTACATCCAGGTCATCCTACCAAAATCCTGCTTCAGTTCTTGTAAGAAGTCCACAAGCAGGGTTCTGAGAACTGCTCCGTGCATGTGTTCTGGAATCTTGTCACGCTTCCTTTCCCACATATTTTAGCTGCATTATCTTCCTGCCTCCATAGCACCTGGTAGAGACCAAATGAAGTAATGAATTAAAAGTATTTACCAGACTACCTGGCACATAGTAATTGTAGTAATTGCTCAACTAACAGTAGCTATTATGACAAATTTTCTTAGCTCCCCACCACAGGTACAAACACACACACAGCACAAGAAGACTGATACATTTTGCTACTATCATAGTGTTTACTTTTGCCTGTCTGTTTCATTATTTTAGCTATTAGTATATGTAGTACATGATGTTTACATTCCTTGCAGGGAGTTGGTACATGTACGATAACACATCCCAATTCCTTTTCTTAATCCCTTCTCCTGCCCTCTCTTCCTCCGCCCTCCGTGTCCTAATCCCCTTCCCCTCTGAGAACAATGTATCTCCCTCCTTTCTATTACTATCTTTTATTTCTGCATTTTACAAAAATAGTTAACTGACTTCTGAAATGACAAGATGAATCAATTAATCAATCAATAATAAGGAGGTATTAATAAAAGTTCAGAGGATAAGTGTTAAATGAAAAGTTTTAGGAGTATACAGATGCAGTTCACAGAAAGCCATAGCTTATTGAACAAGCACGGGTCTGCCTATCAGAAGCTCCAAATCTTCATTTCAGATCTGTCATCAAGTAACTTGTGTCCTTAGGTTTCTGTGGGCCTCAATTCACACATGTTCCAAATGGAAGACATTGGATGACAGAGTCTGTCACTTTCCTATTACTACAATAACGTTCCACAAATAACCACCAAATCTCAGTCATACACAGCAATAGGCATTTATGTAGCTCATAAAATTTGTGTGCTGCCTGGGGGTCAGCTTGACATGGCTGCGTGGTTCTGCTCCATGTGTCTCTCATTCTCTTTCTGAGACTTGCAGAAGAATCTGAGCATTATCCTTTCATGGCAGTGAGAGGTGCAAGAGGACAAAGCAGGAATGTGCAAGGCCTCTGCCTGCCATAGTCTGTTTCTGCTGCTATAGTGGGTAATATATTAACAGCACAAGTTTATTTCTCACAGTTCCCAAGACTGTTAGTCCAAGACTCAAGGATTAACTAAAGCCCAGTCTCAGAAGACATCTGGAGCCGTGCACATTCTTTCCTTACTCACATGGCAGAAGAGATGGAATGGGCTCTTTTATATAGTTGATATGATGTAATCACTTTCTGCAGGCTCTATCTCTGAATACTATCACAGTGACAATTAAGTCTCAACATACTAATGTGTGGGACGCGCATGCAGACCAGAGTAGCCACCTACGCCTTAAGCTTAGAATGTGCGTAGCATTACCTCATTCTATTGGCCAAGGTCAGAGAGGGGAGCATATCACACCTTCTCAGGGAGCAGAACTTCATAACCACAGGCACAGGATATGGCCTCAAAGAAGAACCAGCACCATTAATGCTATATATAAATAGTTCCCCAATTATAATAGTTCAACTTAAAGTTTTTCAATTTTATGATGTTGGGAAAGCCGTATACATTCAGCAGAAACTGTACTTCAAGTTCTGAATTCTCACCGGGGCTGGTGGTAAGTCCACGACACTCTGGAGATGCCGGGCTGTGTCACTGAGCAGAAGCTCCCAGTCAGCCATGAGATTGTGAGGGTCAACACCCAACACTGTGCACTGAACCCTGTGCAAAGCTATGATGTTCTATGGGTTGGTGCAACTTATGCATTTTTGACTTATAATATTTTCTATTTATGGTGGTTTATTATGATATAGCCCCATCCTAAGCCAAGGAGCATCTATATAGAAAAATTATAATGAGTTCACTTTCATTTCTAATAAAACTTATAGAATATTTCAAATTAAAAGGATTACCTATATGGTTCACTAAGATATTAATACTTAATTATTTACATGATCTTTTTTCAAACTCACTTGGGACAATTAAGGCAAGCAAGGGAGACAAAGGGAAGTAAGGAGGAAAATAGAGGAATAAGAAGGAAGAGTGGTATAGGATGGAAGTTGAAAGGATTGTAAAAAAAAAGGAAAAGGAGGAAGGAGGGACGAAAGGAAGAAGCAAAAGGAAGGGAGATATAGGACAGAGGGAAGAGTAAGGGACAAGGACAGGACACTGCAGGGAAAAGAAAAAGGAGGGAGAAATTAATGACTGCACTTCTTCTTCGGGAATGTCTGAACCAACAAAGTTAATAAAGGTCCAAAATTTATCTCATTCTTAGGAACTAGGTTTTTGTAAAAGATATGTGTTAAGATTCTACCTAGAATAAGCTAGATGGGAACTAAATTTTAGTATATGCTTTACTTTTAATCTTTCAATAAAGCTAAATTAGTATAAAATATGTCCAATTATCTAAAATCTTATAAAACTTTGTTATAGAACAAATCAAATTTCTTAGATTACCCATGTCTAAAAATTGAAAGTGAGATTTCAAATCATATGTTTTTAAATTACTGCACTTATTTTCTGTCACAGTTTCAAGTCACATTCATAGCTTCGCCTCTTCTTTTCACATTTACTGATTGGTGTTGACACTTTCAGACTCAGTATCTGATGTGATACTAAGTTTGACAAGGATCTTAAAGTGTTTCCAGCATTTTGTTCTATTATTTTCATTTTGTGTTTTTCCCTTATTTTTATCTGTCTTCTTTTAAAATTATTTTCTGCAGTATAATTTCAGGCTTAGAAACAAAGAAAATTTTGAAGAGGTCACCCAATTTAACAAGCAAAACAAATGTCTTCAACTGTTTTATTAAAGTGCTATTATGAAAAAAGTTAAGATGTTTATGACTAAAGAATTAGAAAGCACCTTAATCTCCAGAAAACAGCCAAGAACCTGAAACCAGAATGATTAATATTTTCCATCTGTGGAGCCTCTAAACTCTGAAACTGGTTTGAACTGATCTATATTTGGAAGTAAGTGAAGTGTACCTTAGAGCAAACCCAGGCTCACTTATCTTACCTGAACAAGTGACCTGGCCTCAGGACGCAACAGTAACAGGAGGAGATCTGAAAACCAAAGATCGCTGAGCTTTCGTCCATCAACCACATTTTATAAAATACTCTTCATCAATCTTTATTCAGTCTTTTCTTCCTGTTGCCACATAACTTGTTAAAAATATTGAGTTTTTTTCATCTTTTGTTAACAGATACCAACTTAATTATTTCTGTGGTACAGGTTCTGAAGCATTCATTAGGTGAACATCATTAAAAAAAATCTTTTATCACCAGGGAAAGAAAAAAAGCAGACGTCCTGAATGTATTTGATGTGGTAGCCACTGTGCTAAGTGTTTGTAGGTGATGTGTTATCTAATCTTTACTTCAACCCTTTGAGGGAAATTTGATTACCTTTTTAACAGATGAAATAACCTCTGAGAAATTTACCAAGGTGCCCAAAGTCATTACTTCATTCATTTATTCACCAAATTAATAAACATTTATTGAGTACCTTTTCTAGACTTGATATACATAATTCTAAGGGAAGGACAAATAATAAAAGAGTGTTTAAATTAAAACAAAATCAGCATGCAAATAGTGCAACAAGTAATTATAAGAATTATGAAGAAAACTAAGGTAGGTAGAAAGCTAGGGATGGAACAGAGACCTGCATGGTATGAAGGGAAGATTCAGGCAAAGATTTGGAGAGAAGGAACAGCTAGTCTAACAACTCAAAGGCAGAAACATAGCCAGTAAATAGTGGAGCTAGGATTTAAAATCAGATCTGTGACATGCAAACGTGTATCTTTCCATCATGGCCAAAATCAAGGTCCATTTAATTCGTTTCTGTGGAATAGGCTGTGAGGATAAACTTTTCAAATTATCGCCAGAAAAAACAAATTTGTACTCCAAATTACTGAAGAAGTGATCTAAAAAAGGAGGCTTCGAGGGCCTCTGCTTAGAAGTAAAGAAAACTTCTCCAGAATGCCTATAGAGAAAGCTTGTGGAATGCCTTCTCTTGAAAGGAATTTCAGAGACAAGATTCATATGTAGTATATGTTCCAGCCCTTGCGGCTTTGAGACACATTATTTAGTGGCAAAGTCCGTCTTTTCCAGAAAATTTCTTTTTGAAAAGAATGCAAAGAGAAGGGTAAGACACTATTTATCCCTTTATCAAGAAGAGGCCTATTAGAGGGACTTACTACTCAGCCTGAATTTTTTAACTTTTCCTTTTAGTATCAGAGAATCGGGCCATGTCATGATGAGAAAGAACATTTTTCTGTTGTACATCCACCATCCATCAATCCTACCACCTGTTCTCCACAGAGAGCCACTCTGACTCACAACACTGTTCAGTGATTTCAGAATCAATCTGATAAGTCTATTTATTATAAATTATTAAATATTATTTATTATGTTAATTTAATAAATTATTAGAGTCATTTATTATAGGCTTCAGTAAGTCTGCAAACCTGCTAGCCAGCTCACAGGTACAGTGGCAAACATGGATCACCTTCTTCCCTATAAGCCCACTTCCCTTAATGCACACTACCCCACACCTGTTCCCACAAGGGCCTGGCCATGGAACTTTCTATGTCGGCCCTTCTTCTGCAGCATTCCATTTGACCTTCCTTTTTCTCTAATGTTACCTGTCCTTCCTGAGAATGGATGATTCATCTCACCCACACCCTCTTTCCAAGACTTTCCTCACATCCTCCTCTGGTCAAGAGCAACTTTCTCTCCCAAGGAATCTGTATCTCTTCTCTTTCCCCTGAATAAGAGAGGTTAGTGGGCTTTTACACGGCTTCTCAAATGCCATATAATCCTGAAAGAAGAGCCTGGGGTTGGGGGAAAAGAGAGACTGAGAAAGATAACTTCAGATCTCTTCTGGTATAGAGGAATCTGTGGCCTTAAGGTAGAGATGCACAGAACAATCTTTCAGTTCCTGATAGTACTTTAAAGGAAACAAGATTTACATAAAATACAGAATTGCTTGTTGGGACTTTTAGGCACAGTCAATACATTTATTTTTCTATGGAAGCACCATTTCTTTTCTATGTAATTTATATTCAGATCAGAAATGAATTATAAGTCAGGTAGAGTTGCCTAGCTGATCAACTGCCCACCCCCCCACCCCATTTCTGTTTTAGTCACCTTTGAGTGTTCCTATCAAATTAATCACCTTAATCACCTTTGAGTGTTCCTACTCACCATCTTTCTAGAGGACCAAGTCCATCCACGGATAACTGCAAGAAAACCCTTCATATGGTGTCTTCAAATCCAGTTTCTGGTCCTCAGTTCTTTTACTTTTGGAAGTCGAGTGCCTTAGGAACTGAGTCCTTTCTGAGGGTCTCTCTTTGCAGCCACAGGTATTTCCAAAATGAAAGGATAGTGTAGAAGGCTATGACAAAAGAGAAGAGCTAGAAATAGACATTAAGAAATGCCTTAAAGGAGAACAGCCATTTGATTTTATGACCATAGACTATATATAATCTAATTTTTGCAACTACGGAAGCATAAAACAGCAACAGATAATGGGATTCAGTATACTTTGGTTCTGACCCAATTTCACCGCTATATAAGTATATAAGGTGGGACAAAGCAGTTAATCTCTAAAGACGTCCGTTTTCTCCTGTGAAAGTACAGGGAGGAGTTTTTGAGCAGAACAGTACTGTTGTAGAGTACCAGAACCAGGAAACAGATGGCCCCCAGAGGTATGGAGGCAGTAAACAGCTTTATTTTCACCGGTGGACCTGTCAGGGATCTTTCCCCAAGGAGGTCAGGCCCAGGATATCGGTGGGCTGGCAGTTTTATAGGGTTCCAAGTAGGAGGTACGGAAGCAGAAGCAGAGTATGGCAGTCTTTGGTTAGTTAGTTATTGGACACTTTTTACATCTATGAGGCTTAATTCCATCGGAGTTTCCCTGGGAATATAGCAAGCAGGGTTTACACAAAGCAGAGCAGCAGAGGTGGGACAGAGCAAAGAGTTGGAGCAGGACTTTCTGAGTCAGTTACACTCCTCTGGTGACAGATTACAGAAGTTGTCATGGCTACTCAGGTACATTCTACAAAGAACATAGTTACTTAGTTAAGCCATAATTTTTTAATAACACAGTTAACTCATAGTTGTCCAACTGAGATATTTTTTGTTGAAAATATCCATCCGCCTGGAAATTCTCTTTCAGTACTAGATGATTTCTGAGAGCCCACAGAGTCATAGGACAAAAATCACAGGCTATGGCATCAATCAGATTCAATCTTTGTGTATATGATACTGTACATCATTTCTAAGATAAAGATGAGGGTCTCTGCTGCACTGGACTATCAAAAAATTTAAGTACTGTGTGACTCAAATATCAGTTCTTGGCACTCAAAAATGCCACTTTCCTTTTGTCCCTTCCTTTAGTGATTTGTTCCCAGTGCCTAATAGGCCCAATTTGCTCAGAAACTATTCCTGACTTCATCCCAGAGCAAAATAGAAGCCTAGTAATGAAAGGATCTAACTATTACCAAGATTACCAACACTAACTATGAACTTTTAGCAGGAACCCATTAAGTTATGGCTGGAGGGAAGTGAAGAGAAATTCTATAGATCTGGGTTTAATTCTAGTACTTTTTTGGAAGACCAAGGCCCAGATAAATTCAGGGACATAGTAAACAGTTCTACTCTCCCTTCAACTACAGTCATCTGTCTACCTTCAATGTCACGATACATAAATCATCTGACATTAATGGAAAGCTTTAGATATTTTCCATCATATTTTCATCTTCACAAAGACCCCATAGGATAGATGGAACAGATTTTCTTATCCCTATCTAACACAGTTGACATCTGCAACCCACAAAAGCTTACTCAACCAGTTTGTGACAGAATGGAAAGAAAGGTTCTGATCCCTTGTCTTCCACTACAATTTCTTTGCTGCTATGTCAGGATGTCCTCAATGTCTATTTGTCCTCACTAGGAGAGGAGCCTACAGTGGCTACAAGAGAACTGGCTCAGAGGTTGGAAACCCACTCTTCAAGTCAGTCCTCTATAATCTTATCCCTACATCCTGTTCCTCCCTTCTTTGTTCCTTTAGAATCAGGTACACAGAATGGGGTTCATCATGGTCCTCACTTTGTGGCACACCATTATTATCAGTCAAGGTACAGCCCCTCAGTTGGTGTGTCATACTTTGTTATTTTTCTATCTTCATCCCTCACCTTCTCTCCCCTTCTACCATACATATTACCTTTCTAATCCACCTTTCATACACTTACATATGGAGAGAGATAGAGATAGAGATATATGTATTTTAAAAATATGTGATATGTTTTGTGTTTGGGTTCTCATTTAAATAAAAGAAGCTGTTATAATGGTTATTCTGTTTCTTAAAATGTTCTTTAATATTATATTTTTGAGATTTATCTATGTTGCAAAATATAAATCTAAATTATATTTTTGACTAATCTGAGCATTCAATCATTTCATCACATTTTATTTATCTATTGTCTTGACAATCAATAGTCATGTATTTTGCTTCCAATTCTTCACTACCACAAATACTACTTGGCTGAACATCCTCATCAACATCTCCTTTAGGGCTTACCTGGGATTTATTTTTAGAAACAAAGCTAGTTGTGAAGACATGCTTCATTTCATTACTTGGGTCAGATTGTGTCCCAGAATAACTGAACCAGTTTATATTGTTTCCAGTAGTGCACCAAGATCCCATTTCCCCATATCCTCACCAGCACATACCATCTGACTTCCTAATCTTTGCTAGATTTTAAGGGTAAGGAAATATTGTTATTTTAATTTCCACTCCCTTGATTGCTAATAAGATTTAGCTTTTCTTGAAATATTTATTAGCCATAGGATTTCTCTAATTGGATTGCTACCACTTGGTTAGCCACATCCTTTGTACATGTTTTCTGCTGAATTTCCTGTCTTTTTTCTGGTGAATTTGTGAGAATTTCTTTTATAGTCTAGACATCAGTCTCTTCTAGGTTTAGATCTTGCTATCACATGCTGTAATAGTCAGCTTTCCTGCCAGTGGTACAAAATACCTGGTACCCACAATTAAAGGAAGAGAAATTTAATTTGCCTGGTGGCTTCAGGGGTGTCAGTCCATGGTTGGCAGCCACAGAAACATCATGGTGAACAGACATGGCAGAGTAAAACTGCTCAGTTTACAGTAGCCAGGAATCAGAGCACAGGAGAAGAACACCAGGAAGTGATACACTCTCCAAGGGCACACCCCCAGTGACCCACCTCCAACTGGGCCCCACCTCTTAACAGCACATTCAGCCATGAACATCAGTGGATGTCCACTGAAAAGAATGGTGCCCTCATGACCCCTATCCCTATAAATAACACAAGAAGGCTAGTACATATGACATCTACACTAGACAAATGAGACAGGCAGCAGTTTATTAGTCACATATGCTCCCAGCCAGGGAAGTGAGAATACTGAACACTACGGGGAACTTTGCAGGACCTCACAAAGAAGCAGAGTGAACCAGGAAGGGCTGCAGAAGGTGGGCTCTATAGTGTCAAGAAGATAGGGAGTGGTTTGGTTCCTGTGGGAGGGTGTCATGTGCTCATTTGAATAATTTCATGGGCTGGTGGGAAGGTGAAACCCATTGTGTTGAGGACCAGGTAGGGAGCAGCTGGTCTGGCCAATAGAGGAACTAATCAGATAGGGAGCCTTTCACTTTGGGTGGAAAGCATATTTGGCAAAGAGAATGAAACTCACAGAGCTGCACTTGAAATTTTAGGTCTTACAATATATGATTCTCACAGTTCTTGCACTATGTCCCTCTTTTCAATGAATCATGCTAACTTGACTTTGAATATAGTCATGCACTGCTCAATGATGGAGATACTCCCTAAGAAATATAGTTAGGCCATTTTGTCATTGTGCGACCATCAGAGTCTATTCACACAAACTACAGTGGCTATGATGTCAGTAAGCAATATAATACTATGGGACCACTGTCGTATAGGTGGTCTGTTGTTACCAAAATATCATTACACAGTGCATGACTGCATAAGAAAAGAAAAACAATGTATCCTTCAAAGTCTGAAATGAAATTGGTCTCATGATTAGTTAGCATGTTAGGCCACAATGTTTTCTCTGAGGAAAAAATGAGAGTGGTCAAAATATTCCTCTCATTTTGGAATGATCAACTGGTTATGCTGACAGAAGGATTCTCATTAGCCACAGGTACTTCTGCTTTGTAATCTACGCTCCAGACACCAAGAATAGGCCCATAACAGTACCCTGGATCATTCAAGTGGTTAGAGACTCCCTTCTTTAGGCAGGGCAGAAGACACATAGATAATAGCAGGGTATTGGTTGACAATGAATTCTGTGTAGAAGAGTGCAGAACAGAATTCCTTTAGCTAGTAATTGTGTCCTCATTTTTTTCACATAAGGAAGCATTTATTTGGGATTTACATGAAATCATACAAATAAAATTTGTATAAACACAAATCCACACTGAGTCATAATGGATAGCAAAGGACAAAATAAAAACAAAGAAAACTAAATGGCAGCTATATACAGTTGGTTGTGTCCTCATTTTGTTGTGATTAAAAGAAGTAGAGTAGAATTGAAGTCAGAGAAGGAACTATTCTATAGTAGGTAGAACAATGACCTATGAGTATGTTAACCTTCAGTGGCAAAGGGGTTTTGCAAATGAAATTAAATTAAGGGCTTTGCAATACTAATCACATGAATCCACTGAAGCAGAGAACCTTTTCCAGAGGGAAATGTGACTATGGAATAATGGTCAGAGAGATGAAATGTTCCTGGCTTTGAAGATGGAGGAAGGGAAACAGCCAATGAACACAGGCAGATTTTACAAATGGGAAAAGCAGAAAACTAAATGCCCCAAAGTCCCCAGAAGGAATCCCTGCTGATACTTTTATTTCAGTCCAGTGAGACTCCTGTCAACGTTCCCACCTATAGAATGGTAAAATAATAAATTTGTTTTCTTAAGCTACTGGCTTTGTAATAATTTATTATAGCCACAGGAAAAAAAACTAAGACACTTCCTTAATTTTGGCAATTCTAAAAACAGATAGACATCTAGCCACCCTCAAAGCAAAACACGGGAAAGCAAATCACAACTTCCTTCTGACAAAAAACTTCCATTTCCTTAGGACTTCCCCATTTATATCACCACCTTCCTGTCATTTGCCCTCTCCCACCACTTGCTCACACCTCACCCACCAATTCACAGTGATGCCATCTGTGTCTCTTCTCTCCTTTGGCTTCATGTCCCCCGACACACAAAGACTACCTCTTCTTCCCAAATCCTTGTCTTCTACCCCACTGGTTGGTGGTGAGGATTTTTTACATCCCCTCTTTTATATCTCTGCTCTTGGTTTTGTCCTTTTCTACTGCACAAGAACTTTAACCATGTCTCTGTCTCCACATAGTAGGCTCAGCAAAGTGAATCTTGATAAACCATTGGGAAGGGTTTTCCAGAACTGGGAGTAGCCACTTGCAATTTCCAAATGTGAGTGAACTAAAATAATTTTTGCAGGATGTGGAGCTATGTATCATCATTTGCTTTTACCAGCCCTGCAAAAACTTCTCCTAATCTTGTAAATGTTAATTCATAAATGAATAAAGACTAAATACTTAAATCATAAAGCTAGAAAAGCTATGAAAACAATCCATTTGACAGAATAAAAGTCTATGTCATTTCTGGAGCTGTAATACTGGAATCAAACAAAAACATTCCAAATGAAATGGATTATTTATTATGTCTTAGGACTGAGACCTATGTCTCAGTGACATGGTCGGAAAGAGGAAAAATGTTGGCTAGACAGTGCCACAGTTCATAAATATAGGTGATTCCACTGAAGCTAGAGATTTGAGCCACAAATGACCACAAGCAAATAAGTGCTGGTAGACTAAAACTATCAGAGAACACCGGACCCATAAGAGTCAAGGTGATATTTGGATATGTATATGTAGCACGTTTTTGCAGAGATATCTGTATCATTGTGTGTGTGTGTGTGTGTGTGTGTGTGTATGTATGTGTTTCCAGAGAAG